AAATGCATAATTCTATGCCCTCGAGTCAGAAACCGTCATTTACAAAAAAGTACCACTGCATTGAACCAAGCTATCCATAAGGCATGACAGACGAAATCTGAACGCAAATGGATCAGGATCTTGAAACGATGAGGCGAAGATTTCTTCGCCCAATTCACGAATCCCTTGCATCCCACTTTTCTGGCACTGAAAACACTCAGTTCATTACACTGCCCATTGTATGATGCTCCATTCTCCTTATTTGGCTCAGCTTTCGGCACATTGTTCATCTAAATTGTGATGGATTTAGTAGTAGGCAGTGAAATTGCCATATTCTGGGCGAAATATCGCTAGTTGCTTGGCCCGTCAAGAAGTGGTACTCTTTTGGATTAAGCGATTGAGCTTGCATTTTCAGGGAATTTCATGGGTCTGCTATCATCAAATGTTCGCTTGTCTAAACGGGGCTCTTCAGTTGTAAATAGCCCAATTGTATTTACTCACGTTTTTTCCTCTTGACTACAATCGAATTTCAGGGCTTTCAGAAAAATGGTCTCCCCATTCAAAGGCACCCCAACCTAGGCGGGATGAAGCCCCTTTGCCGATATTTCCTGTCAAATCGGAGGTGGGCTCGCTCAATCCCTTCTTCTCAACCTATCAGGTCGACTACTCCAACTACCCGGAATGCGAATCTCAGCCAGTCGGATCAACCGGCAGACTCATCGCAAAGTCCGAATCTCACATATCTCAACAGATGCCGGATGAGACCGCCCCACTCACCGCGAAATCAGTATTACCACGACAACAGGTCGTCGTGGGCAGGCACACATGGATTCAAGCAGGTCCCCATAAACAGTGGGTGCGGTGTGGCTCAGAATGGCTGGCAATGCCGGCCGTCTACGTAGCACCGGATCCGAAAAACTCCATCGCCATGGAATCCACCACGAGCTACCGCAGCAGCTTCACAATAGACGAACACAAGGTGGCTTTATGTACCTTTTAAAAGGGTCCTATGGGCACGTCTTACTCGAGAGTCATTTTATCACTAAATCGGTTTTTGGAAGAAACTCGAACGGATATGTCTTGGGTCGTTAAAGATGATGTTAAGACGGAAAGTTGGATTTCTCAAAACAAAACGAATAGACTTTGTAATGTCGTAGGGCTCTCTTAAACCAACTTTCAGTATTTACATCACCTTAAGTGACCTAGAGTAACTCGACTTGTTATTCAAGATTTCCTGATTGTTTCGCAGCTTATTTACTGGGTGTATATAATAGAGTCGTTGAGTATAATGGCAAGCACAAGTTTTCTACATCCACATTTCCGCTGTGCATTTGAGAGCAGAGGTCTGACTTTCTCTGAAAATCACCTTTTTCTCGTCGCCAATTGGCAACTGCAGTTGCACGGTGGTTTGATGTGTTGCCACTCACCTCCTACAACTCGGTCTCGAACCACAATCAGGATTCTGATCCGACCCGGGCAAGATCGAGACGGAAGTCAGGCCTGAATGAGAAGAATTTTTGATTGAAAAGACAATGTGAATTTCCAAATATCAGCCATTCGCCTTAAAAAGGCCTATTTTTGTTTTTCAGGAGGGTTTCAAGACGACCAGTAGATCTGGAATGAAAAGTGTTTTTAGGGTGATGAAGTACTGGTAGTTTAATTTTCCCAAGATTTTATGATTAAAAGAGGGAAGCACGGCTGTGAAATTTAATGGAAACGCAAGGCCTACTTATGTAATTGTGGAGAAATTCAACTCGCATACCTTCATCTCGTTAAACGGAATAGGGTGAATAGC